ACAACAAAAAGCCAATCTTACTTTCAGAGGAAAGAAGCTATTTAAAAAGCAAAAACATAAACATAAAAACATTCCAAAGCCAGATTAATAATTCTTTGTCTTTTCCCACTTCACTAAAGAAATTACAACCAATCAGTACAAAGACCAAAGCAAATTGCAATACACACAAATCTGCTCTGACTTCAGCATTTTTTACCATGTTATTTCTTTTTTTTTGTGGGCGTCACATTTGATCAAGCCCAAACTGAAGTTGAAATGATGTCTTTTAAATTTATATTACTAGTAGTAGTAGTAGTAGTAATAGTAGTAGTAGTAGCAGTAATAGTATGCTTAATTGTAAATGCACCAGTGGCTCATGCCTGAAATCCTAGCTACTCAGAAGGCTGAAATCTAAGGACAATGGCTAGATGCCCGCCTGGGGAATAAAAGTCTATGAGACTCTTATTTCCAATTGATTAACAAAAGAGCGAGAAGTTGAGCTGTGGCTCAAAAATACAAAATAGATTAAAGTGAATGATAAGTTTTTCTTTGTGCAGTAGGATTTCAGTATATATACATTCCTTATACCTATGTCTGTTTCTTTAATAATCAGCTTCATTCCAAAACCCTTCCCTTTATACTTTTCAGCCTCTCATTATTACTATGATACACAAATTAATTTTTTAAATAGTTCTACATATGAAAGATAATATATAGTATTTGCCTTTCTCTGTAGTATTTTGAAGAGGTTCTCTGGTTAAACTTGAGATTTTAAAATAAAAATTATAGGAAGTTATTGCTTTGGACAAGTGCCATCTTGAGTTCCATCAGATCAGACTATGACTCTAGATATACCTTCTAGGTATCCCTTCTAATGTTTGTTGTCACCAAGCTAAAAGCAAACAGTTTATATGAAATTACAAGTAAACAGGAGAAAGGAGAGATAACAGTTGAATTTCCCAAACAAGGCAATTTTTTTTTTTTTTTTTTTTAAATTTTATTTTATTTTATTTGTGAACATACTGTACAGAGGGGTTACAATTGCATGGGCAGGATAATGCATACATTTCTTACCAAGCATTGCAGCCTCCTCCTTTGTTTACCCTTCCCATCCCTTCCCAGCCTCCCCCCTCCCCCCATCCCAATCCTTCTCCTTCCCCCCTCCCTCCCACCCCCTACCCCCCCAACCCCCCTCCCCCGCACCGACGTTGTAAAGATCGTTTTGGACATAACAACTTGTACTTCTCATTGTTGCATCAGATCCACCTGTATCCTTAAACAACTGGTTTTTCCCCATCTCCTCCACAAGTTATACTGACATCAAATATAGTGAAAGCAGGGGTTATACTGTGGGGGAGGGACATACAAAGCAACAAAGAGATAATCTTATAAATGCGTTAGAAACACATGTATGAAAGAAAAAACATTGAAATACATATCTAAGGGTTCATTTTCCTGACATCACATTATCTGACCTTTTCCGCTTGACTCGTACATATACTAGATATTGCAAATAAGGGAAACCATGGGACCTATGTTTCTTTGGGCCTGGCTTACTTCACTTAATATAATTTTTTCCAAGTTTTTCCATTTCCTAACAAATGGGGCAATGTCATTCTTTCTGATGGAGGCATAGAATTCCATTGTGTATATATACCACATTTTCTTGATCCATTCATCTACTGAGGGGCATCTGGGTTGGTTCCATATCTTAGCTATGGTAAATAATGCTGCAATAAACATAGTTGTGGTGGTAGCTTTAGTGTGGTCTTGTTTGTAAGCATTTGGGTAAATGCCCAAAAGTGGGATTGCTGGGTCCTAGGGGAGTTCTATGTGAAGTCTTTTGAGGAACCTCCATACTGCTTTCCAAAGTGGTTGGACAAGTTTACATTCCCACCAACAATGAAGTAAGGTTCCTTTCTGTCCACATCCCCTCCAGCATCTGTTGTTATTAGAGTTCTTGATTTTTGCCGTTCTATCTGGGGTGAGGTGATATCTCAATGTTGTTTTGATTTGCATTTCTTTTATGGCTAGGGATGTTGAACATTTCTTCATGTGTCTATTAGCCATCCTTCTTTCTTCTTCAGAGAAGCTTCTCTTTAAGTCTTTCGCCCACTTATTTATTGGGCAGTTGTTTCTTTGGGGATTTGTTGTTGGGGGGTTTAATTTTTTGAGTTCCAAGTATATTTTAGATATGAGACCCTTGTCCGTTGTATGGCTAGTAAAGATCTTCTCCCAATCTGTGGGCTTTCTATTGATCTTGCTAGCTATGTCATTTGCCCTGCAGAAGCTCTGCAACTTTATGCAATCCCATTTGTCCAACCTTTCTTTGATTTCAAACAAGGCAATTTCAATCAACCTATAATGATGAGACATCTGCCTTTAATCTTAGACCTCTTAACACTTTAATCCTTAGGAAACAAATATAACCTGAAGCAATCTATTGCTAACCAATCAATTGTTTTCCATTTTATTTTATTCCTACTTTAGAAAGAAAGTTATTTTGAAATTACCTATAACCTTCTTGTTCTATTTCTGTCTTCAGTTTTTCTGTACCTACAAAAACCAGTATATTTTTTGTTTTCTTTTATTATATTTAGTTTCCTTTTCTTTGCTTGAAGGACTTCTCACTATAGTGAACGGCCCAGACTGGCTTCAACTCACAATTCTCCTACCCAAAGCCAATTTCTTGCCTCAGTCCATTCCACCCGTCCTATGTTTATGAAATGAAATGTTGTTTTACTCTAAAATAAAGAAATAAAGCCAAATAATACCTTTAAACTAAGTTCCTGTAGTTTTGTTAACCAAGAGATCATAAAACTGAAGGAGTAGGTCAGTAAATAATTAAGGTCCAGTTTGATAGACATTTTTATTAGAATATTATTCAGAAGAAATCAAATGAGTTTCCAAAACCATAAACTCGAAATCAATCATATCATAGCCTTTGCCAAGAAAGGAAACTTCCAAAATAACTCCAAAGCTATTTGTTTAAAGCATAGTTTGGTGAAATCTGTTTAAAGAAACTTGAAGTTCTTGAGCTTAAACACGATCAAAGTTCAGTGAACCTTTGTAGAGTATTAGGGGATGAATCAAGTCCCTAAACTTTCCTATGAACAAGTCTTAAACTTTCCTCCCTTAAAATGTGACCTTATTTGAATAAAGTCTTAACAATAACTGAGTTAAAATGAGATTAGTATAATCCAATAAGACATAGTATTCTTATAAAAAGAGGACAATTGGAGATAGACAAAAAAAAAGGGAAGGTCATATGTAGAGATAGACCTATAAATCAATGATAGAAATTGCCCTCTCATCCTTTTGAGAGAATAAAGTCTTCAAGAGCAAAATCAAGAGCAAAATCAAAACCTAGCAGGGCAAACATTCAATCCTGTAGCTCCATGTTTCTCATTCAAATAATATGGTGCAGCTTATGATGTCCTAAGCTTTTGGGAAACCTTACTCTCAATGATTTTTCTAACTGTAATCCACCTGGGCCTGCCTTAAGCCCATTCTTCCTCACTGTGTAGAGTTTTGCTTGGCGTATTTTTTATGTGCCTGTCACTTCATACACTTGAGTTCTCCACTGCATCTCACAGCCTCAACATCACCATCTCAGGGTTCTCTCCCGGGTTCTTCCCGCCCAGCCCCCCAACCCCTCCTCTCCACCCAGCAGGGACTCTGACACATTGCTTGGCCTCTCAGGCTTTCCCCTGAAAGCTGGGGGGAAATGTCCCCTGATTTTGCAACTGTTGCATTTTGCAAGCCTACGTGTAAGACCACATTCAGCTGAATAATGTTAAGTCTTAGTCCCCTTGTATGATGGTTTCAGAGATCTCTGTGAGTGAAGCTGAATCCTGGGAAATACTTGTCCAGGGGGCCAAGTCCGGTGACATTTTCTCATCACAGGAAAGCCTTTCAAAGGATTTTAAGTAATTCATTTTTATGCCTTCACCATGTGAGAGTGGCATCTGGCTGATTCTTGAGATATCTGAAAGTCATCTTTACTATCGTCCCAGTTCTTGACTTTTCCATAATGGTGATAATCTCTTTAGCAGCAACATTTTCATTGGCTTCAAGTTTACACAAGCTTCCTTTAAATAAACCTCTCGAAAATCTCAACTAAGAAAAACTATTGCATAAGTTACTGGTCAAAATGTAATATTTATGGATTTTAGTCCAATATCCAATAGTATGCTCATGCCAGTCAGAAACTTCATGGGCAAGTATTGGCATTCTCTTGTGTTCTAACATTGATCAAGATGCATTGAATTCATAAACTGATTTGTTGAATGATAACTCCCTTATATAACTACTTAAAGATGATAAAATTAATTAATTTTTAAAAGGCTTCCAAAGATTTGTTTTCCTTTTTTGTTTATTTGTTTGCTTGCTTGCTTTTTTTATTCTCCTTGAAACAAATTGTTGTTATATAATCCAGTCTAGTCTTCAACTTGCTATGTAGGCTCAGCATGGCCACAAATTCACAGTCCTTCTGTCTCTGCCTCTGTAGTGCTGGAATTACAGTCATATTCCACTATGGTGGGTTTTGTTTTATTTAATTTCTCTAAATTTTTCCAACTACCTTCCCAAACCAGTTTCAGTTTAAATGTGTCAATAGTGGTAAACATTCTTTAACTGAGTCATGTTTAAACAATGAAAAAGAGGTACAGTAAATGTAAATTCTGGTAACTTAATACAGTCAGGCGGCTCTTATTTCCTCAAAAAACATTTTAACTCCTCATTGCCTTTGTCTATTTACATTACTGCAAATTTATGTTCTCTTGTATAGCACAGTAAATATGAGCAATCTCTGTAATTATCTTTATAGGTATGCTATGTTTTCTTATACAAATGCAAGAGGTTAATTATTTTTCAGAATATCTGTTGCTTTCTATGGGAGTAATTATAAGTTATTATCCTATTTAGAGTTAATTATATTAATTGTTTGTACTGGATTAACAATGCCAAGTGCGTGAGTGTTGATTAATATAATAAGCCTCTTTTATGTTTTCTTGTTTTAGTTGACTTATCTTTAGTGAATAAGGATGAAAATGCCATCTATTTTGTGGGAAATTCTCTTGGCCTTCAACCAAAACTGGTTAAGACATATGTGGAAGAGGAACTTGATAAATGGGCCAAAATGTAAGTATGAGCTTTGGGCCATAATGAAAGTGTGAGCTGTAAAGGTACTATTTGATATCTCATATGAAAAAATTTAAAATTTCAATAGGTTTTCTGGTATTTAGAAATGTATATTATTTGTTATTTCTTGTATTTGGAAATGCATATTATTATACTTATTATTTATAATTATTATTTATATTATTTCATTAGTGTAAAATGGTTAATATATAGGATGTTTAATTTTTCAATGAGTAGCCCTTAGCTAAACTGCTATTATTTTTTATAAAGAAAGAAACCAAATTATCAAGGAAACTATAGGTTGGTTGACATGAGTGACACAAATATTACTTAGCTCTCTCAGATGAAAAAGATGGTCCATGTGACCTTAAATCAAGGCAGGCTTGATTTAACCATGAGGGATCCTTGTCTCAGAACTATTTCCCTTCCATCTTTTCTGTGCTACTATTTTGACTGTGAAATTCTTCCTACTATCTTACTTCTTGAACACTGTAAATCTGATATTCTTAGTTGCATTGATTATCTCCTCTAGATGTCTCTACTTAGTAAACAGTTTTATCTTCTCAAATAATTAAAGTTTTATGAACACAATACTGTACAAATTTATGTGATATAGCATCATGCCTGCATATATATGTGTATATAATATATGTAAACTGCTTATCAGTCATTGTTATTTTGTTTTTGAAGACATTGTAGTTCTTTTCTTATAGTTACCTATAAAATGTATAAGAGCTTATTTTGAACTATTAGCTCTTCAATTTTATGGAACACTAGACCTCTGTTTGGGTACTTTTTGTTTGACCTCATACAATCTCTTCTAAGGGCTTGAACAAAGCCTATCTCCAAAGTTGAAGATACCTATTTTTTTAAGTTAATTTTATATTCTTAGCTATATTATAGGACCCTAAAGGAAAGTAACCTTGTTTCATGTATTTTATCTTTTCCCAATAACTACTGATAAAGTTAAAAACAGAAATACTTGTTAAATATTTGATTTTTAAATTTTATTTCTAAACTGTAAGTACTTAAATATGTTTAGATATTTTAAATGCTTAGAAAGATTTTGAGACTTGAACCCAGCACCTGGATGTTGTCCCTGAACCTCTTTGTACTTAAGGATGGCACTCAACTACTTCAGCCACAGCACCACTTTCTGTTTTTGAGTCTCATGGGCAGTTTTCTTCCCTGGGCTGGCTTCTGACCATGAACCTTGAGTAGCTAGGATTACAAGCATGTGCCATCGATTCCTGAATAGAAAAATTTTTAATAATTCCTATTTGATTAAAAAGTCAGTGCAGAAGTGAACTACACCTTAAGGTCAAGAAACAAACTTCAGGAAGATAAACCCAAACTAGTTATGTTTTAGAGGTAAGATAATTCACTGTTTCAGAAATTCAGTATTTTCTTATGTTTTCTTCATTCTTTATGCTACTGGTCTTTCATAATTGAAACAGAGCCTTTCCTTCAAAATTTAGTTTACGCCAATTTTAAGTACTATAGAACTCACTGTCATGACTTAAATAATACTGCAAAGTTCTTAATTTTTGTGGTTAAGGCAGCAATTAATAAACAAATGACCAAAGTTTATATAATTTAGTAAGCCTGATCTGACACTGCCTACATAACTTTTATGCATGATTGGAAAAATATATACTCCTACATTTGGAAGAATTAAGTGCAAGCTGCTTTAGTATTTAATAAATGAAGACAATAGTTAATAAAAACAGTTGATACTCATTTTGGGCCTTAATGTAAGAGACAGCAAAGAATTAGATAGAATGCAGTTGAACTTTAGAGATTGTCCTTCCCTCTTACGTTCAGCAAGGCTGTGCATTTTTGGACTCTAGACATTTTAAAAAGTTGCTGTTCTGCTATTCTATTCATATCATTATCATTATGCTGTGTTATTGAGGAGAGCATTAGTTATTTTCATGACATTAGAATTGTATTTCATGAAAAACACTCTCTGGTATAATATCTTCTATTGTTGCTTGTTGCTGTCTTGCTTTCTAGTAAAGATAGACTATTCCTTAGTTTTGGTTAAATCTTCTTAGTTTACATTAGACAAATGATTTCAAATGGAGTTGCATTTCAATGCTGCAGCTAGCATAAGTTGAATTAAAGACTTCTTCCAAGCAGAAGCCATCCACCCCATACTGGCTTGGCTTATTTCACTTTAATTTCTAGCTTTAAGATATCAAGACCCAGTCAACATCATGGCCCTTTGTGTCCTGAATCTCAGGGATGGCTAAGATATCTAATTATATTTTGGTTTTCTCCTATCTCATCCCAAAATTTGATCTAGAAAATACTTTTTTTAAATCGGTTATAAGGCTTGAACTCTGAGCTTGGGCGCTGTCCCTGCACTCTTCAGCTCAAGGTGAGCGCTCTACCACTTGAGCCACAGCACCCCTTCCTGTTTTCTAGTGGTTTATTGGAGATAAGAGTCTCATGGACTTTCCTGCCCGGGATGGCTTTGAACCAAGATCCTCAGCTCTCAGCCTCCTGAGTAGCTAGGATTACAGGCGTGAGCCACTGGCACCCGGCAAGAACATACTTCTATTATTAATTTTTTCCCCAAAATTTTAATTTTAAACTTCTACTTCTGTCTTTTTCCAGCTTAGGATATTGTGAGAAGAAAACTTTCCCCTCTCAACAACAAAAAAAATGAGAAGGACTGCAGTTTGATTAACAACAGAGAGATTTATGGGAGAAAAATGATTTCATAAGCAGATAGAAGCACTCAAAAAGCACTAACTCCTAAAATAGTCAGAGATAAGAGTTTAGGTGCCAGTTTAACTAAAAACACAGTTGTAGGTCTTAAATGGATGCAGCACAGAAGGCTTATTGGGTTTTCTCATACTAGTTTTGACATTAATATGCAATACTTTGCTAGCTAGGAGGTTCCCCAGGAAGATTAGGTCAGCTATATTTGTCCCTCAGTATGCAAAAGTTCATCTTCCCTCTGATGTTGGAACCATAGTATTTCTATTATTACGAAGCCTTGGTTCAAGTTTAGCTACTCTTCCTGTCCAGATATTTTCAGTTTAGAATTATCTTCATAGCCCTTTGATGGGCAATCTGTCCCCTCTATTGCTTTGATTTTTGTTCAAAAATCTACCCTGTATATGTTCAAATTTCCTCTAGAACCAGGACTCTCATGATTGTAGCATGTTTTAACTGATCACATATTCTTCATTTCCAACTGTCCTATTCTTGAGTTGAAATTTAGGACAGGTCATTTCCTTTCCTTCTTGACCAATGGAATATCATGAGCCCAAGAAGTCTAGGTATTTATTGCATAGTCTAATGTACATTAAACATAGTTGCCTAATTAGAAAAGATACTTTTAAAACTTATCATCTTAACATTAAAAAAGCTACTATACCTTTACAAAGCAAGAAGCCACTCAAGGATGTAAATATCAAGATTGTTCATTCAAGGTGCTTTATGTGTGTCAAATGACACAAATTTTCTTGAATCTTCTATTATTTGAGGAAAAATTGTAGAAGTAGTTTTGGGCCCACATAATATATTTGTTGCGGTTATTTTAATATATTTATTATTATTTTTCATAGTTGGTTTCTCATTGGGGAAATAACAGTTCACTTTAACCAAGATATTTGCTTTTGTGAAAAGTTTTAAGTCATATGCATTGTTAAATTTTCTATATAAATATTTTTTTCTTTTTCTTAAGAGCAATGCCTATTACAGTTATGATTTTCTAGAGATTATTTCAAGGAGAATGACAGAGCCAGGCATTGTGTCTCAAGCCCATAGTCATAGCAATTAGGGAGCCAAGGATTGAGGAATTAAAATTTGAGGTTCACAAAGGACAAAACATTTGCAAGACATCATCTCCAGCAATGGACGTGGATAGGTGCCTTGGGCCTGTCATTCTATGATGGGGGAAGAATACAACAATTAGAGTCTATACAGACCTCAGCATGAAGACTGTTCTCAAATAATGAGAAGGTCTGTAATCTGACTGGCAATAGAGAACATAATGAGATTCTTTCTCAAAAAACAAACAAACAAACAAAAACCAACTCAGAAATGGGGGACATAAAAGCTCAAGTGGTAGAATTTCTGCCTAGGAAATATGAGGCCAGGAATTGTTTAAAACACCAGTATGGCCAAAGTAAAAGAAGAGTGATAAATTGATAAGGTTATTTCAAGAGAAAAGTGGCCCACTGAATTATGTGTCAAGGGTAAATCAGCTGGTTGGTAGACGATGACTTACTTTTTATGATAATGTATGTGCAATAGCAATGATGAAGTATGCCAGAAATTTCTGCTGAACACTCTTGTATAGTCTCATTTAGTTAAGTCCATGATTAAAAAAACACAGAGCAAAGGGTGCAAGAAAGATTAGTGAACATCTTTGTTAGCTAGTCATCAATTGAGTGGTGGGAAAAAATGCAATATCATTAGGGACAAATGTGAAAGTTTATGTATTTACTTATGAAGGAAGCTTCCTAAAACTAGAGCTGTTTTTCATTTTTGTAGGATGGTTAAAACATGGCCTATTTTAAAGAGGATACAAGTTTCTATTAACTTCCTCATTAGATTTTTATATTCTGCAATCTAACTTCATGAGCAAATATTGCTCAGAGACATCTCAGAAAATACCCTACTCATACCAAGGATTGATGCTGTGCTAATGAGCTCTCATGCTCTCTTTTCCTTTCCAACATTTGTAGCTATTTCAGCAGTTTTGAATGAAAACAATAAAATATTTTTCCTAACTCTAATACATATGTTTAAACATGCACTTACTCTACATCTACTTTCTCTAATGATAGGCCACTTTACTTTGGGTTTATTTGGATAACACTTTCTAAATACATTTCACTACTCCAGGCTAGTAGGCTGACAGAATGAGGAAGCCGACTTGGTGTGTGATATTTTAAAGGGAAGGAAATGCCAAACACATTACAAGAAGAAACGAATCCTTAAAGATTATTACTATGGTGTCTGCCAGAGTGAGAAGTAGGTGGCATAATATTCTGAGTTATAAATTCTCTGAGGCAGAACATAGAATTTTACTACCTCAGTGTAATAAGATGTATTGTGCTATCAGCAAAGGCCATGGAGTTCTATGTGATTAAATAAAAAAGGATCCAAGTATCTGCCTTTAACTACCATTTAATGATAATGATTTTTGTCTTTAGCATTTATATTGGAAGTCAAGAAAGAGGCAAGCTGCAAGCTATTCTAATAATAGTATGAATAATAATAACAACTAGCAATTGCCTCGTTATCCCTTCTTTAGCTCTTAGTCTGTTTATTCTCAAAGAAAGTCCTCTTTCTTCGTCTTTATTTATGTAGTAATGGAAATGTTAGTTTAAAAATCACGTTATATTCCACATGCTGAAGGACAAGAATTTAACATGAGATTTACATTTGCAAAGTTCACTCAGCATAGGTACTATGCAACTCTTTTTTAAGTGACCTCATTTCTTTTTCATGGCAACCTTTTAAGCTACATATTGTTCTGAATCTACTTATACTAATATAGAAGACTAGGTCCTATAAAATCTTCTAATAAATGTCTCACATTAATAAAGATCTGGAGTTGACTTATAGTAGATTATGAAAGACAATTGTTACATACTAAGAATTTTGTTCATAGAAGAGATTCTGCTGTGATAGATGTTTGCAAATCATGAAGTCAGCAAAGGCTAAAAATTATTAAGGCTTTGAACAATTGAACCACTCTTTTGAGATTAGGGATCCAGAATCACCAAGGCTAGCTTATTGACTTTTTTTTAATAAGGTTTTTTAATTGTGAAAATACTGTACAGAGGGGTTACAATTACATGAGCAAGGTAATGAATACATTTCTTATCAGGCATTGTTTCCTCCTCCTTTGTTTCCCCTTACCATCCCTGTCCTCCTTTTCCCTCCTGGCCCCCCCAGCTTATTGACTTATTACCTGTGGATTCAAACCCAGATTTGAATTACACAACAGGCACATGCTCACTCCTTTCTTTGCAAGTCTACAAAATCTAATGTATAGATTTTTTTTTGGGGGGGGGTCCGGTCGTGGGGCCTGAACTCTGGGCCTGGGCGCTGTCCCTCAGATCTTCAGCTCAAGGCTAGTGCTCTACCACTTGAGCCACAGTGCCACTTCTGGCTTTTTTTTTCTTTTTGCTTATGTGATGCTGAGGAATCGAACCCAGGGTGTCAGGCATGCAAGCTAAGCGCTCTACCACTGAGCCACCTTCCCAGCCCCCAATGTATATATATATATATTTTTTTAAAGGCATAAGTACATAATATTATTCCAGGTACTTCCTGTTATTCTGTTATTTTTTTATAGTTTTAAGTGCATTTGTTTCCCTCATAACACAGAAATTTCTTGAGACTGAGATTCTCTTGTGTATGTGGGGTTTTATTAGATGTACTGGGATATTTGCTAGAATAGTAAAAATCAAGTTGGAATATGACAGATGAATTGCTAGAAAATGAAGTCAAAGTGTAGTATTGGTTTTGATTGTTGTGTTAAATCTAGGGGCTTTGTCTAATTACACCAGAGCGTTGATCAGGCATACTGCTAAGATAGGTCAGATTTTCTGGATACTATAGTTCTATACTTTTCTAGAAAACAAGAGACAGGTATTACTAACTTAAGTAAACTACATATTTTGGGACCCTGCACAAAATGTAAATTAGATATAAATGTATTAATTCATGCCTGTTTGTTGGATTTACCCTGTTTTATGGTTAATCTAAATATTATCACAAATATAGCTACATTTTGTACATGTCCATTTAATTTGCAGGTCGTAACTATATTTTATTTTTCAAGTGGTGCTCACTGTGGTTTCTAGCTAAATTAGAAAATATACTCTATATATCAATATACATAATACTATATGCTAGAAGTATTTAAATATTCAAATAACACAGTAAATATCAAAATAAAGGGAAAAATCTGAGGCTCCAAAAATAAGACAACCTAATCAAATAGCATACATATAACACCCCTTCCTCAACAAAATGAAACCCAAATTAATTTTAAAAAGATAAGCTGAAAAATAAAGCTCCCAAATATATCCTTATTATTTTTAATACGTATTGCATAATTATTTAAATATTATAATTCCTATACAAATGTCTACTTAATAAAGAAAGAGGGTGTTGGGAAAAATCACGTGTAAATATACACACATACAGTTAACTAAAAATTTTTATGTCCCGTTTTAATTTCAGAGGTGCCTATGGTCATGATACAGGCAAACGACCGTGGATTACAGGGGATGAATGTATTGTGGGCCTTATGAAGGACATTGTAGGTAAGTATGAGATGAATTATTTTCCCAAAGAATTGTCCATTAAAGACAAAATCTTACTGAGTAATATCTTTTTGAATAGTATCCAAATCTTCTATTTTAACCCATGACAGTAAAGGGTTAAATATACCTTTCTCTTACATTTAGTTATTGTGGTAGTACTGCCAATGCAACTGAGTCCCTAGTTCATTCTTGACAAATGCTCTATCATTGACTTGCACCCCAGCCTCTCCTGTGAAAAAGAATTGTTTTGATATATTACCTTTGACTCCAGAGAGCTGTGATCACAAACATGTGCCATCATGAAAGTAGGAGGCTGCAATGCTTGATAAGAAATGTACACATTATCCTGCCCATGTAATTGTAACCCCTCTGTACAGTATGTTCACAAAAAATAAAAATAAAAAAAACGTGTGCCATCATAGAGAGCATTTTGTGTTCTTTTAAACTAATGTATACTCACTAATTTAAACTATATTTAAGTTTATGTTAATGGATACTGTAAATTTTATACTATATTTTGTCGACCTAAAGAATACAAATTGACTGTGTCTCCAAACATATTTTAAGCTGTAATTTAGAAGTTTGATTTTAAAATTTTAAATAAATATCTCATTTTTTTATTTCTAAAATTGTATTGGCTACAAAGATGGTTTAAGTTCAATTCTTTTAATAAAACTTAACCACTTAATCTAATAAGAAAATTAGCAAGTAGGTTATTTGCATAGTTTGCCTGTTTGCTCATCTTCAGACAGGGTTTTACCAAGTAGTCCAGGCTGCCCTTATATTAGCCTCCAGATTTCTGGTATTAGAAGCTTGATGTTCTTTTAAACATATCTAGGACAGATTTATTTTGAAGATGTGTGTGTGTGTGTCTGTGTGTGTGTGTGTGTGTGTGTGTGTCTGTGTGTGTCTGTGTGTCTGTGTACATGCACATGCATCTATATATCTACAAAATCACAACAAATAAGATCTTGAGTTTACTTTTTTTGTTGTTGTTGTTGTCCATAGGTCTTGAATTCTGGGTCTGGGCACTGTCCCTGAGCTCTTCAGCTCAAGTCTAGCACTCTACCATTTGAGCCACAGCACCACTTCCAGTTTTCTGGTGGTTAAATGGAGATAAGAGTCTCAGGGACTTTCCTGCCCCAGCTGGCTTGAATCTCTATCCTCAGATCTCGGCCTCCTGAGTAGCTAGGATTAGTGGCTTGAGCCACAGGTGGTACCTGGCTAGTTTATTTTTTAATCTTTAATCTTACATTTTACTCTTAAACTTGTTTTTTGAATAAACACTTGGGCTATACTTTAAAATGAGTTAAACTGAAGACTGGGTTTCTAAGGGAAAAATCAGCTGAAGTAATCAGAAGCAGAAAAAGGAAATGGGTTGTTAATTTCAAAATTATTTTCCTCTGCAGTCTAGACAAGAAGTTGACTGGCCAGCATCCTCTTATGACAGATAACCTCTTTTGTGAGAGGATTTAAGGCATTAGGAACTTCTGACAACTTCATGACAATTGGAAGCGGCCTGATTTTTCTGGTGGTCTGATAAGCAGTTTGGTTTTAGCTTGGTGGAACATTAGTATAAGTGGCTCTGTTTTGATTATTGGTCTGTTTTATGGGGGATGGGGAAAGGACTTATATAAGGAACTTCCTCTGAGACAATGCTTCCTGTAATGTTGATTTAATCTTCTGTTGGTTTTATCTGTTACTAATACCATGTTTGGTTTCCTTTGAACCTTGCTCATTAGGAAGGGACCTAAAAGTCAAATTTAAACTATCAGAACAATTCAATACCTTCTAATTAGTGTCTCATCTTCACACATTTTACTCTTCTGCTGTGTGTGTGTGTGTGTGTGTGTGTGTGTGTGTGTGTGTGTGCGCATAGGTGTTTGTTTGTGTATGTGTGTGTGGTATGATGGTTGGCATACCCAGTCTCAGGCATAGTAGGCAAGTGCTCTACTACTAAGCTACATCCTTAGGCCCACTGCTATATTTTATGATGGCTCTCCATAGTATAATATATGAAAGTTTAAACATTTTGGTAGTCGATTAATAAAACTGTTTAAAGTGTTCTGCTAAATATTTTTTCCAAAGTGTAGCAAATTGCAAATTTCTTCCCCTTTGCTGATGATTCTAAATATGTGCTAAGCAAACAGACATGTTGATATGGTGTGTGATTTGGATCATGAATGACTCTCCCAGTATCTTAAATAAACAGCCTTTGTTTTAACATAAAATTCTTCAAAAAGAGTAGCGAATAGATGATAAAATTATTATGTGTTCAAATTGATATAATTGTGGAGAAGAGAGATGATAAATAAACACATGTATTCATAGATGCAGAAAGGAGTTTCAATTTTAGAAGTGAAGAAAAACTATTAAGAATACATTTTATATAGAGCCAAAAGTTCCACAAAACATGGAATAATTTTCCCTTGTAATTAATGTCATTTTATCAAGATGCTAGAAATAGAGTTGCTCAAGAATATTATTAGTAATTATATTAAGCTACTTCTCCCTGGGTGCATAAAACTCACAAATGGCTGGATGCATGCTTGTGAGCTTATAAAAATATTGCCATGTGAATATAAATTTACTTTATGAAACTTATAACTGACTCTCAGAGAAACAATAATCCTTGGAAGCTCTGCTCCAATAGTTACAGACCCTCTACCCTCCACCAGCCATTTCTAAAGACTATAGATTTCAAATTAGAGGGGGACAATTCTTGGACTTCACCTGATTGTAAAACTGACAGGTAAGCCCACAATAACATTGTGTCTGATTCATAAATATGAAGAATGTGATAAAGCAATAAGGAGACCCAAAATGAACCCTTTTGTCAAATGGTAAGTAGTTTGGGACCTTGTCATGCTTCCTTTGCAAAGGTGTAAATAACATTAAGGCTAAGGAGACATAGAAGTTAGTTATGACCTTCTATCTCCTATATTTGACTTACAGGGAGTGAAGAAATGTCTTGTAACAAATGCTTCTGAATGTTTTTCTGGACAAAGATTTTTTTCTTTCCTAAGAGACTGTAAGTTACTTCAGTACCCATTGATTAAAAAATAATAATAATAAAGGCCTCATCAAGTTGTTGTGAAGATTGGGTGAGAAAATATAACTTTTAGATTTGGAGGTGTTAGGCTATCACAATGGTGGCAAAAATGCCAGCTTGCCAAATTTCAAGACAAGGCAGTATTTGCATTTAATTAGACTTCATTTTCTTAGAAAGCAAAAGTGACAGTCCATAGACAAATAAGTAATAAACTAATAAACAATAAACACAAAATCCTCTGTGAGTGAGTGCACTGGCTCATGCACATCTCAGATGAAGTGATTCAAATCTTGATATTTGTGGTAGTGAATTGTAGATGATCTTCTAAAATAATAATCTTTTCCAATTCTGCTTTGGAGAAGCTTTTCAAAAAGTTGTGCCCCTAAGTACTTGTAGTTCTTGATGTTTCTTCATTAATTCAAAGTAGGCTCTTAGGAAAAAGAAAAGGAACAAAGATAAGCAACTTGAAAGAATTGCAGTGTATACTGAAAACAGATTTGCTTTTATAGAATACTGTTGTTATTTAAATATCTTAGAAGAACAATGCTGTTTTCAGAAGTACAACTTGAACCCAAAAAATAGGTCAATTAGGTAAATTTTCTTTTAAAAATAAACTAAAAATCAGTTAATTTACTGATGCTTTGATGTTAAGAAATTTTGATTCTTCAGGTCCTTTGGGTCATACTTGCAATAAACATTTCTGCTAATGTCTTAAAAGATTAATATTAGCATCTTTCCTACCTATGTGTGTGTGCATGCATGCAAGTTAAACAGACCAATTTTTGACTTGTGCATATATCAATAGCAGCAAGGTTAGCATTGGCAAAATGGTAGTAGAATTTAAAATGATCCAAGTTGGGATAATATTTTTATGTGTAGGTAAACAAATTATTCAAATCAGTGACAGATTATTAACAAACAACTGTACTAAGTATAAGCATGACACTTAAAAAGAAAAGAATGGCAGGAATAAATCTAGATTGAATTTTGCCTAACACATCTGTGGGAAGATGTGCATGCACGCCCATCATATTCCCATGCCATGAAGTTAAACGCTTTAAGATGAAAATTATATTACTTGGAGGACCAAGATGTCCTAGGAATTTGTTATTTTATTCATAATGTGATGCTTGGGCAAAATTAAAACAGTCTCCTCACTTCCTACCTATTTTATTTTTTATCGTCATTTGCAATTACTCATTTTTTTCTATTTTTGCTATAGTTTTTTTTTTTTTTTTTGGGTCCGGTCATGGGGCCTGGACTCTGGGCCTGGGCACTGTCCTTCAGCTCTTCAGCTCAAGGCTAGCACTCTACCATTTGAGCCACAGTGCCACTTCTGGCTTTTTTTTTCTTTTTGCTTATGTGGTACTGAGGAATCGAACCCAGGGCCTCAGGCATGCAAGGCAAGCGCTCTACCACTGAGCCACCTTCCCAGCCCTTGCTATAGTTTTTGTTATGAATTTTCTTCTGCTCTCTCTACATGTTTCTCTTAATTCCTTTGTGTTTTCTACTCTCCCTCCCCAAATATTTTAACAAGTTATTTACAAAAATGATATCTGTAAATAACAAATGAGGTCATAATAAGATTAGATTTGATATATAATGTTATATTTAGAAGTGGAAGTATGGCCGGGTGCTGGTGGCTCACGCCTGTAATCCTAGCTACTCAGGAGGCTGAGATCTGAGGATCGCGGTTCAAAGCCAGCCAGGGCAAGAGAGACCCTGAGACTCCTATCTCCAATAAGCCACCAGAAAACCGGAAGTGGCACTGTAGCTCAAGTGGTAGAGCGCTCGCCTTGAGCTGAAGAGCTGAGGGACAGTGCCCAGGCCCAGAGTTCAAGCCCCACGACCGACCAAAAAAAAAAAAAAAAAAAAGAAGAAGTGAAAGTATGAACTCATGCCATAACCTAGAAAAAAATCTATAATAAAGTTGGCAGGGTTTTTTTTTTTTTAGCATATTTCAAATAGATATGTTTACTATAGGAAAAGGTATTCACCACTACGTATGATATAAGCTTATATCATCAGTGAAATATAAATAGGTTAGATTATCACATGGACCTAATATGTCTACATATTCAATGATAATGTTTTAATCTAGCCTTGACGTCACATATTATCCACATAATAAAGATCAAGATATATATTTCAACACCCATCATTTATTCATCAAGCTCCTACATCAAAAAGAAATCTACAGAACAGTTACAAAGCTTTCCTTGATTAAAGTCAAATACAAACTCTTCCTTAAATGACAATGTTAAAAATATGAATTGGAAAATTAAACACATTTCCAGTGACCTTCCTTAACGTGAATATATCATGAAATCTATTAGAATTATTATTTCATTTACTACTTATTCTTTTAAAGTGGAACTATGCCAGAAGTATTTCTTTGGAAACAAAATATAGGACTTGCAATATAGATTTTAACATCTAGTACATCATTGTAAACAAAAAGAAACATACCTCATATGTTTCATTGTTGTTGAAGAGATATCGTTCCTAATACACAGGTCTAATTGCCTTTAAAAGACAACATAAGAATTGAAAATAAAATTGTATACTTATTGGTACTATGTTCTGTATAAACAATGGGTTCTATGTCTGTCTATTTTTCCTGTGCAAACCTAGTTAATGGAATTAGATAAGGTTATAATTATATAATATGTATCTTAATTTTGCATTTTTTACCAGAGAATACATATTTGTATCTTAATGTTTATAAAAAACTCCAAAGCTATTCATTCTGTTATAATCTGCTATGAAGCTCTTTTTACTTGTTAACTACCATATATCTATTTCATTGTAATAACAGAGGCATATGTTTGACAAAGTAACTTTATTTTATTAAAGGTTCATTTCATTTGATGTTAGAAACAAGCAGTTTTATAAAAATGTGATTGTCCTTAATATCTCTTTTAGATTACTTTGCAATATCCATTTTCAACAAAAGCGACTCTTTGGGAATTTTAATAATAGGGTATCAGCATTTTTAGTTTACAGACAAATAAAATGCCTCATTATTTTTGTTTTATTATGTATAGCATCAGAAAGGAAGCATAGTTTTTCGCTAGCTGTGTGTATGTGAGTCCAGATATCATTTGGAAAATGAATCAAGTAGGAAACTTCTACTTTTATATGATGACACATCAAACATTCTTTTATCTTCAAAACTACTCTAAATGATCAAGGATAGTCTCTCTAACTTGTTTATCCAGGTGTATTTATAACTCATAGGGAAATCTAAATTACAACTTTTTTTTTAATTTTACAGGAGCCAACGAAAAGGAAATAGTCCTAATGAATGGTTTGAGTGTTAATTTACATCTCCTAATGGTAAGTGTTTTTTCCCATCAATGTTTAGAATAAACTCATCCACACACTCTGATGTTTTCCTATCTTTAATTCATAAGCATCTGATGCTATTTAAAAATAAGTTGTGAGCTTGTGTTCATTTTTACCAGGAAATGCTAGGCCATGATATAATGGTTTCTTCATAATCATGGAAGAGCTGACCCTTGCAAGGAGCTTTTGAATAATGAAAAGCTCTTATCTTAGAACTTAAGAAAACAAAAAGTCAAAGTGAGTGAAAAGAGAAACTGCTGGCAAGCTCATCAGACAGTGATATACAATTACTAGCGAAGGACTGAGCAGCTCATTTCAGCCGATTTCCAGTAGTTGGACTTGAGCATGGTGGGGTTATGGATCAGTATACTTTGGTGAATGAGGGTTTGGGGAATAAGTTTAAAAATTTGGAAAATAAAATTAAACTGGAGATGTTGGGTCTTCGTCTGTCCCACGAAAGACAAAGGAAAGGTAAGTGCGCGCTGGCCTGTTCCCCAGCCTGAGCCTGGGAGACAATCAGACTCAGAGAGGAGTCAAGTCAAGCAGGAAGAAACTTTATTAACACACAGCAAGCCCTTTTAAAGCAAAAAAGGATCCAGTGGCATGGCAGGGGAGGAAGAGGAACCAATCACTGTCAAGGTCACACCCTATCATGCACCTAAGCTTCCACAGGCTGGTTAAGCACTGAACTTATATCAAATTGGGCTCTGCCCACTCTACTCCCTCTCAGTGCCATCTTTGCTGCCCATGTGCTCTACATGGAGAAGGATCTAACTCCTTAATTAGTCCTTTAAATGATTTTTGAAGCATTTCTTGCATCCTAACTATTCTATTGTTTTATCTTAAAGTGTCAAATGCAGTCTCAATATTATGTCTATAACAATTGTTTGATACTTTGAAAGTTTTTAATTTCATTTTTATAGTACGTTTTGGAAACAGCCTACAAGTTCAGATATCTCAAATTTTGGCTCCCAACTCTGTTACTTACTATCTATTTGATGCAAGACAATCTTTTCACCATCTTTAAGTCTACATTTTTTTTCATACTTACCTTACATATCTGTATGAGAATTAAGTGTGATAATATGTGAGAATTATTTCAGCAACTGGATTTATAATCAACACCTGGTTAACAATACCTACTTCCCTTCTCACTGTTAAGGTAATTGAACTCATTTCCCAGCAACTAAGTGGAGAAATTGACCCTTTGTTTAGTGGTAGTATTTCTCAATTATGCCCCCAAGATGGAAAAAAAATAATGTTAAGGATGAGGTATTTCTTGATAAGTATAAACTAAAAGGCCATTAAAAATATAGTGAAAAATATGCACAATAAAATCTAAATTTGTAGTACAAGATAAGTCAGTGTGAATAAGATATACATAGGACAGGAAATTTCAGTATCACACTAGAGAAATTACCATTCAATGTTTGAAAAGATAATTTTTCAATTAACATTTAAATAAACTTAGAGAATTTGCTTTTATCTGATTCACCGTTTTTCCCTGAGTTTGTTTTTCCATTGATAAACATAATGAGCCAGTATCTTCTCCTCCTTTGTAACACACTGGAAACAAGGCTAATTGAAAAGCTATCCCAGTCAGATACCTTAAGATGTTTAATTAATTAGTTCCTTTAAAATGTTGGAGATTGTAAAATGAAAGTGTGGTATAAAGTGAACAAATGTATAAATTGTACATTAATGCTTTTTCAATAAATCCATTTCATTGCAGCTATCATTTTTTAAACCCACATCAAAACGGTATAAAATTCTTCTAGAAGCAAAGGCCTTCCCTTCTGATCATGTAAGAATTTCTTCACTTTGTATTTATGTTCTGTTTACTCTTCCTTAGCGGGGAATATCATTTGCCTGACTTGAATGTTTATTCACTAGTCTTCTCCAAGTAACCTCACAATAAAAAGATCTGTCATATGCTTTTGATTTAAGCATTTTTTTATAGATTGTTGATTTATTTCTTTTGTTGAAGTAAAACATGTGTTAAGGGAGGGAAGGATTGAATAGGAACATTGATTTATTAGTCTTTTTAAAGACACTGAACAAACTGCTGTCCTAAATCAAGTGTGGTTATAGATGTTTTATTAATTCTCATTGCTGTTTTATTTTTATGGAATCCAATGAATACAAATATCAGTGCTTAACCCTTTAGCTATATAAAATTGAAATGTAAGCTTTTATTTAGTTCTCTTTCCATAACATCCTAGCATAGTTTTGGTACTTTTTATCATAAATTTTTTTTATATGGATTAAAAATGGTTCTTGTGGTTCACTAAAAATTCATGCTATCTTATCCACATTTGAGTTAAGACATTTGACCTATATACACATAGATGATAGAACATTTTAATGTTTTAAGTTAGAGAAACTTGATTTCTACCTTTGTATTATTATTAACTATTCCAATTCACTTCTTGTATTTGTAGGACATGTAATCCTGTCCAAATTAGTAACCATTAACTTATAAGAAGGACTAGAACATAAATAACAAGGGAAAAAATCCTTTTAACTGCTTGTTCCCATGCATATGTTATGTTCTTAATGTAGCAAACTCTTTAATACCTTTCCCTTTACTAATTTATTATTACTAGGGTAAACACTTTTAATTCCTGTGTTTAGGCCTAGAAGATCCATATGACTTCTATCCCTATTTTGTTAGTTGTAGGTTTGACTTTAGTTGGTGACTGCTAATACAAAAATCTCTTCTAATTGCTAAATATTTCTATGACCTCTACATTTCTATTTATCTCTAATCAGTACTATTTCAATGAATGTTAAGTTTTCTGTTAAATTTTATAATTAGTAGTTATTTGATATATTCTCTTCATTCACCATCTCTGACTTTGGATTTAACAACATAATACATATTTGATTGATATTTTGTTTTCAGAGTTATTTCAGAGTACTAACATGCTTACAGCTTTATTTAACAAATAAATTGTCCTTTTTTCCAGTATATTATTGAGTCACAACTTCAACTTCATGGACTTAATGTTGAGAAAAGTATGCGAATAATAAAGCCAAGACAGGTATATGAGAAAGAAAGAAATATTTATTATACTTCTATTAATATTGATTTTTCCCTCTGTTTCCTCAAAAGTTGATTATTTTCATTACTTTAATGGAACTTTCATGGAAGCATTAAGAAAGCATATTTCTATTACTATTAGATCATTTTGTTTAAAATAGAGAATAACTCAGAAGTGTACTTATTTTATCTTTCAAGAACTAGATATATGGCAAGCCAACTATTTTCTTACTTAGACCATTGGAGTAAGCCATAATCTTTAGAGATAGGGAAAGAGAGTGACAAATAGGTTATATCATTTTTTAAGCTTCAAATGTAATTTATTTTTGGTGTCACTAAAATCAAGTTCAGACAAGTGATAATTTGTTGAAATTAAATGATGACTGTCATTTGTACCTTTGTAATTCATGTACCAAATATTTTCCATTGTGCTGAATTGAAGTGGAAAAAGTAAGGAGGTTTCGCTTCAGACTTTACAGCATGGCTAATATACACAGTGGCATTCTAAGTCCTTCAGTTCTTTGGGTATATTATTTCAGCAAAGTTATTTTATCTGTCTTAGATTTATTAATATTTAACCAGATAACAAAGGATACAGCTAATTCAACTTAAACATGTTTTGAAGTTTTTTCTTTGTTGTTGTTATTTTTAATGTACTATGCGATTTTTTTTGTTTCTTTTGGATGTTCTTCCCTCTATGGTACATCCTCTATTGTCACTGTATTTGATTTTGGTACTCTGGTATTGCATGTATGTTTATTTGAATTAGGGAAGTGAAGGGGAACAACAGGATGATGAGACAAAGGACAAGGGGGAAACCAATGCAACGGTGATATATAGGTGATATATACAAGACAATTTGTTGGAAATTTATCTGCATAACTTGTGTGGGGGGTGGCGGGAGGGAATGTAGGTGAAAAGTGAAAGAAGGGGTAGCAAGTCTGACAAGAAATGTACTCATTACCTTACTTATGTAACCACAATCCCTCTGTACATCACATTGACAATAAAAAAAGAAAAAGCTCTAAAATATTGTGTATTTTACCTAGGATACAAGACTAAGGTTTATAGACATATCCATTTCAACACTGCAACTTGTATAATTTGGCACCAAGGAAATCATGAAAGTATAAATTTCGAGGTTTTCATAGGATACTCCCTGGCTGTTAAGACAATGTTCAAAGGATTATTTCTCACTATGCCAAATTGTTTTAAATAGATTTAAAACCTGCTCTATTTTTATTTCCCAACCTGAAGGAAATTAGTTGAGTATGTTAACATATTCTTAACAAATTACTAATTCCTAATGTATGAATATGACCATTGATTTTAATATGTGTCAACATTTTAATATTTCATGATTGCCATAACCTTGAGATTTTATCATTAAGTCTTCATAATCTCAAGTTAAGCATTACCTAAGTAGCAGTAAGTCAGTGTGAATAGAGTCTATGTCCTATCAAATATTGTTAGTCTTTCTTTTTTAAATTGTGGGGCAAACCTTATGAGGATGCTTAAGAATACAGTTTTGAATCACCAAGTTTTACATTTTTAATTTTTTTCTTAAAATTAGTGAAATCATTTTCATCATGGGTATACAAGCACAGTTCAAAGAACAATTCAGAAATTCTACTATTAATTCTCTTCTCATTGTAAAAACAATTCTCTGGATTCTTGTAATAACATAGCACATAAAATATGTGTGTGTGAGTGTATGTGTACACACAAAAAAGCACCTCTAACATGGAGCAGATTAATTTACAATTAGCAAGAATTATGGAAGTTATATTAAAAGTAAACTGAAGAATGTAGGAATATTGAGCCTCACCAGCCCATAAAGATATTAGTATTGTATTTTTTCCTAATCTTATCAAATTTAGTGCTGGAGAAAATTCATAAAAATTTTGTTAGTAGGTCAGAATTGTTAGCCCACAAGAAGATGTTATGTATTTCATTTAGATATTTCATCTTCAGTTGTTTGCGAAGTCAAATCTAAATTCATTCACAGTATTCACTAGTTGGGGAGAGTAGGGTGGGTGTTAATAACACTAGTGAGATATTTTGATCATTTTCTTTAAATATGAATCTATATATTTAGGGTAGCTTGGAGATGTTATTGTGAAATTAACAGACATATTGTTTAGGTAAATAGTCAGATGAGAGGTATATAAGTGATTTTGAAAATATAATAACACAGTATGATACTGATACCAGACGGTCTTGTTGCATATGTGTTAACTCCTTCCATCTCTTGGTATTTTAATAGATGGGGATAATGACAAAGTAATGTAGAGCTATACATGCAGACTAATTGAAAAAAATAGAGGGCAAATTAGCATAGATGGAGAGTTACACTTAAAACATTTTTTTTACTATTTTATTATAATTTCTGAATACGTAAAACACGTTCATCCCTTATTGAATTTCTGAAGAACATTAGTGAAGGAGAGAATTTTTTTTTACCATACTTATGTTGGTGAAATTTAGATTGGTAGATATAAATCAATGGACTTTTTATGTGTGTGTGTGTAATTTTATCTAACATGATTTAGGGGGAAGATCTCTTAAGAATGGAGGATATCCTTGAAGTCATTGAGAAGGAAGGAGATTCCATCGCAGTGATCATGTTTAGTGGGGTGCACTTTTATACTGGACAGATCTTCAACATGCCTGCCATAACTAAAGCTGGACAAGCCAAGGTATGCACCTCCTTTATCCTTCCTCCTCGCCTCAACCCTCACTCTGCTAAGACGCGTGGGTCCCACTGCACTTCATACGAAGTATCTTACTTTGTCTTTTGCAAAATTACTGTATTTTTCAAATGAGCAAGGATAACATTTTTAAATCAATACTCTTGCTTTAGGCATCTTTATTGACACTGGGTTTTGCTACTTCTGTGGTCTGACTTCTTTAGCAGCCATTCTCTAGGGGTCTGGCTCTAGTTGGCAGACCAAGCAAGCTTCCTGCACTTATGAACTGGTACTCAGCTGCCCAGACCTCAGGAAGCAGACAAAAACACAGAGGGGAATCACTCCAGGCAAGGACTTCCCTAAACCTTGCTTCAGTACTTTGCTGTGTTGTAACTTGTTCTAAATATAAACTATTTAGAAAAGAGAGACCATGGGTTTGGGGAAACAATATTAAAGTTCAGATCTTGGCTCAGTCATTTAAGTGTTATGTAATCTGGAGCAAGTTACTTGTCTTCCGTGAGTCTCTACTTTCAAAACTTCTCTAAAAAGGGAGGAAGGCAGACTTTGGAGATCCAGTAGGTTTTATGAATTGATTGAGTTATAACCAGCTTACTTATATATATTTGTGTGTGTGTGTGTGTGTGTGCTCAAAGTCCAGACTACTATTCTATCATGAGGCTGAATAGGAGAATTTGTAATCTAACACTCTTGAGAAATTATTATAAAAAGTTTCTTTTGTTACACACTATTAAATTACACTTAAATGCTTTACCATTTGGTAATTATATTCCTTTGTTTATAGAATGGGTAAAAAGAAATCAGGAGAACAAAATTCAAAAGTCCCACTTGGTATTTAAATCCTTAATAGCAGTTTTATGTGATTCAGCAATCAAGTCATGTACTTAAAAAGGTGACAGTTGAATTTTATACTAAACATTAATAAGTTATGAGATTAATATATATGTGAGGTTTAGTTAATATATTCAGTTATTGAAGCTAATGAATGGAACTAATGAAAAGAAATTTAGCACCGTTATCAGCCCTGCTCTGGGAATTCACAGCCATGACTTCCAACTGGTTTGATGGATAGCTCTGAAAGTGGTGCATTATGAAATATATAAAGATAATGTCTTCTTAATTTGTATATTAAATGTTAAGCACCAAAATACAGTGAGGCCAGTAAAAAAATCATATTTTAAAATGCTATGGAAGTAATCACCAGTCTCTGTTCCCTTAGAATACATTCACGTTTCATTAACCTTGATAAAAATGAGATAGGAAGATAAGAGAAGGGACACTGTAGGTTGGGGAAACAGGATACCAAGGTTCAGAGCTTGGCCTACTTATTTCATTGCTAAATCATTTTAGACAAACTACTTGACCTTCCTGGATCTCTGTTTTCAAAAGTACTAAGTTGGAAAAACAACACCTAGCTCATAAATTTAGTGTGAGAATACAATGTATAAAACATCTCTTGGATTGCCATGTGTTCTAATATTGCTATTATCTCCTCCCTCATCTACTATCTTCAATTAATATGAGATTATAGGAACGGCTTCATGTAGTTATTTTATTCCCCATTAAAAATAAAAAATAAATTTGTTTATTTAGGGCTGTGTGTATATGTGTGTGTGTGTGTGTGTGTGTGTGTGTGTGTGTGTGTGTGTGTGTGTTGGTACTGAATCTTGAACTCAGGGCCACACTCTTGCTTCTATTTTTATTTTTTTGTTCAAGGTTGACACATTACCATGTAAGCCACACATCTATTTCTGTCTTTTTGCTGGGGGATTGGAGATTAGAGTTTTATGGATGTTTCTATATGGACTGCCTTTGAACTTTGATTCTCTGATTTCAGCTACCTCAGTAGCTAGGATTACTGGCATAAGCACCAGCACCCAGTTAATTTAAGTTGAATATGTAATTCTCATTCTTAAGTATTTAAGTTGCTAAAACCATTCTTTAAGTGTGTTTTAGACTTTCTTCCCTTAAAAATCTAAGTGCCTGCCAAGTCAAATTCTCTTGGGATTTACAGTGAAATCAGTAAAGGTAGGGATAAGTAGTTCAAATCTGCATAGAACTACAAAGAAGTGATGACTACCTTGGGAATGCATTGAGAATACAGCAGATTTAGATTTACCCATTATCAAAATTATTCTAACAAATGTTTACCCTCTCACAAGACAATTCCTCACATTCTCAATTGAAGTTGAGGAATTAAGCTAATTTAAAATTAGATTTACATAATTCTCTAGAGTGGTCTATGAATATAAAGCAGAAGAGAGAGGAAAAAAGAAAATTAAAGGTGTCAATCAAGAAAACCAAGATTCTAAGGGAAAAGGGCTTCAAACACTCTGTTAAGAATGGTTAAGTGAATTAAAAGTAAGGAAAGTTCCCAGCAGTTTATCTTGATAGCAACTCAAAACAAGCAATGAGTATGTTTTGAAACACAAACTACAATATCATTAAGTAAAACTTTCAAAATCATGTGATAGGAAAATAGGGACATGAATGTTGAAAAGTAAATTAAAGAAATATGCATGCATGAAAAATATCACAAACTGTAAATAAATGGCTTCCTAAGTCATTTTGAAACATCATCGTCATCATCCCCATCAGAAAACAACTACAACACTGAATCTTACATCTTTTTTCAGATACTGACTGTTATGAAAGAGACGGAGTCTCTTTGTGATGTTACAACAAAATAATTATAACCTAAAGGAAATTTACTGTACACAATTCTGTAGGTTAAAAAGTCCCAGATGCTGAGCATCCCAAGGGAAGCATACATAGTAAGATCATGGTCTAGGCTTATCCAATCAAAAACACAGTAACCTGCCTGAAAAAAAATCACAAACAGAGTTCTGGGGGCATGACTGAATTGCTTTGACAAGTATGAAGCCCTGAGTTCAAGTCTTAGCACCACCAAAAAAAAAAAAAAAGAAATTAAAAGCCAAAAAAACAAAAAACAAAAATCCCCCACACTTCAGACTTAAAAGTTAATATTTTAGCTGCAATATACAGAACCCCAATGAGAACCAGACAAACACAGAATTTTTTTTTCTAACCACAAAATAGTTAAATCCCCAAGGGGTTAGTAGCACTTCCAAGCTCAAAAGCTTCAACAGAGTTATGCTAAGCATGTTCACAGACTTTTCCTAACAGAGTCACAAGGTGGTGTCCCCAATCCAAACACCACATTTCTATTTCAGGCAGAGGAGGAAGAAGGGAGAGGTGGGAGTGCAGCTTCTTCTGTCTCTGGCATCTACAGTGCCAATCTTTTCCCAGAAAAACTTAGCAGACTCCTGTGTATGATTCATTGCCTTCCAAAACATGAGCTAAAAAGAGCACTGGTGAGGAAGAGTGTGCATTTATAGCCCCATCAGAGAGACATAGCAGGAAATCAGATTTGGGGTTGCTAACACACTATTTCCCAGTTATACCATTGGGATCTCAGGACTTCTGATATTTTACCCTTTCCTCTTCCCTCCTTCCCTCCCTCCCTCCTTTCCTTCCTTCCTTCCTTCTTTCCTTCCTTCTTCCTTCCTTCCTTCCTTCCTTGTTCTTTTTCTACCTTTCTCCCTCTCTCTCTCCCTCTCATCCCTCCTCTCTCCTTCCCCTCTCCCCTGCTTTTCTTTCTTCTTTTTCTCCCTCTCCACCTTCCCCTCTCCTTCCCTCCAGTCTTCTTTCCTTTCCTCCTGTTTCTTTTTATCTTTTTATCTCTTTTTCACAAAGCACTTGAAAACTATTTATTGGAAATTTGGAAGAAGAAATATTAAAAGATAAAAGAGCCAGACAGTAGTAGCTCACACCTATAATACTAACTACTTAAAAGCCTGAGATCTAAGGATCTCACTCAATGTCAGCCCTGGCAGATCTGAAAGACTTCTAACAAAATGCCAATATTTTGAGACATAGCTTCAAATGAATAGATGCTACCATAAAGATCTAAATGAGGATTATGGAAATAAGTGTATAGCTGGGATGGTATGATTCACTCGTGTAATCCCAGCACACAGGAGGCTGAGAGAAGACATCAAAAATTCAAGGTCAGACTGGTTAAATTTTGACCAGAAACATGGACATGGTATTTCTAGTCCCAGTTATGGACAGTATTTGTTTTGTTCTGAACTGACAGAATAATATCAGTACTGTTTGTATAAGATATCAGTATCTGAGCAGTTAATTAGCCACAAACAAGTATTACAAAACATATTTGCATATGACCACAATGTAAATTAGTATGTTATATGTAATTTTTAAATGCAAAAATAACCTCTTTCATAAATATTAGATATTCATTATTAAGCCATCTTTACTAGAAATTGTAGAGTTTATAGTTATTTTTCTTTTTTATTTAATTTTCTTTTTTAAAAATTGTATTGTAAAGATGCTGTACAGAGGGGTTACAATTACATGAATAAGGCAATGAGTACCTTGGGTGTTGATCATTGTTACCCCTTCCCTTGATGTTGTCCCACTATCCCTCCCCCACCTCCCACATTCCTTCTCACCCACGCCCCGCTGCCTGAAGTTGTAAAGTTCATTTCCAATATAACATCCTGTGGATCTCATTGTTGCAGTGGGTCATCCTGTGTCCTTTTTTTTTTTTTGCCATTTTGTTATTCACCTTCCTCTCTCCAGATTAGACAAATGTATACACAAAATGCAAACTACCAAAATCAAGTACAGAGACAGCAGGGGATATATCATAGGGGAAAGAACATACAAAGGAAATAAACAAAAAATGTACATTTAAAACAACAACAACAAAGACAGACCTCTTGTGTACATATCTTGGGGGTGATTTCATTTAGCATCAAGTTATATGATCATATGTATAGCATTTGAGCTTTTCAACTCATCTGATAAGATTATCCCAGAGGTATACTAATTATTCCAACTAAGGTAAACTATGGGGCTTAAATTTCTTTAGGACTGGTTTACTTCACTTCATATAATTTTTTTTCCAAGCCTTTCCATTTCTTAACAAATGGGAAGGTGTCATT